ATGGGTTCAAATGTTGAGAGGTTAGTCAGGATCCGATTTGGAATCGTTTAAGTACTGTGGAGCGATAATTTCAAATTTTGCATCACTCTAGTGGCCATGGATCGAGTAGAATGCAGACGACTTCTTCGGACAGCAGAGGACCACAAGGCCTTAGCCTTTTTGCAAGCAAGCAAGCCATAAAATTGATCCAAGAGTTCCACGGTTTTTTTTTTTCGAAAACACGTGGAACCTGTGATATTAGAATAAATTTGGGACATAAACATGGACCCGAATGACCATGAGACCGTCCTCTGAAAGATCCATAAAAGTGTTCCATACATGATACTGATTCTAGAGCTCCGTAGTTTTGTCGAAAACACTTAACTGTGGTATATGAAAGAATTTAGGGTCGAGACATCAATATGAACCTGGATGGTCATTGGACCGTCCTCCAGAAGATCCGGATCATCCGTAAAAGTGGATCATCCATGAAACTGTGAAAAAATAGTGGTTTTTTACGACAACTGTTGGAACTGCGATTTACGATAGAATTTAGGGTCGGGACATAAACATGGATCCGGATAGCCATGGGACTGTCCTCCAAAAAATCCGGAACATCCGTAAATTTGTCAATCTATGAAACTGATTCTAGAGCTCTGCAGTTCTTTTTTAAATACTGTGATATAAGAAACCACTGGACCACTTTTACGGATTTTCCGTATCTTCCGGAGGACGGTCCTATGTGGATGACCATGTTTTTGTCACGACCACAAATTCTGTCGGTCTGTTCCGAATGTTTGGCTCAGTTTCGTGGATTGACCACTTTTACGGATGTTCCGGATCTGCCAGAGGATCGTTCTGGTGTCTCCAGTTTCCATTAATTGGAACCAATGTAGTATACCATTCTCACATAGCTAACAAAACCCCAATCAATATGAACCATGCTAATAAATTATCCACTCCAGGCACCGAGCCATCGCTCGGGCAAGAATGCAATTATGCAACTTTACACGCACGACCCATATGTTTGTCACTCGTCACTAGAACTGCAGCGCTCCCTCGTCCTCTTCCACCCTTCCCGGGTGAGCCAAGGTTGTTCGCGCAGCAAGAAAGGTTTCGAATGACAACGCCGGGCGCTCAACCAAAATATAACCATTATTTCCGATATTGCTAGGATGCGCATTTTTGGTGTCACTCCAGTCGTCTCACTCTTTTTCCCAAATGACTCTTTTCAACATTCATGAATCAATGTAACTAAAACTGTATAAAAGGAAAATGCATTTCAATAAACAAAAAGATTCTTAGGCTGAAGCTTGACCCGACTTCACAGTTGGCTTATCGAATAACTTCACAAAATAAGAAGCTAGTATTCTCTTTGCGACCCTACTACTGGTTCTCCCAGCTAGGCTCGCTAAAGTTGAGATCCGTATGTCCCGTATGTAATTCGGTATGTGCGCGCGTTAAATTGTAGGATATCCAAAGATATCAAACCAAGAAGGTATTCTAACTAATTATGAACATTTGTACCCATTAATGTAGATTATAGATCTTTTCGCATTTTGAAAAAGTAGACGACTCTATTTTCAATGTTTTTACAATCAAAATAATCTACAGACCTTAGGAATTCTAGAAATACCTCAATTTTTGAAATTCATCAAGAAATGGCTAAGCTATGCCATTGCAAACTTGCCGTTTTTCGGAGACATCGTATTCGGAGTGTTAAACAGCCATTTTGAAAACGAATGATAAATGTTTGGAATTACGGTTATGTGGGATTATTTTAAGATAAAAGTCTGATGCATGGAAAGGCTGACAAAATCGGGTCAAGGACAATTTTGAGGCAGGTACGAATCGCATTCCCTTTACCAAACTCATCCTTTGATGAACGGCGGTGAGAGGTGTTTCCCCTCGCCACCACTGGCCGATTCGCTCATGTAGGGTTAACTACCCCATTTCCGGCCTATTAAGCACAATCCGCACTTAGCCTTTCTTAACCTAAAGAGAAACCAATATTGAGATATTGTCAAAAGTCTAACACTACTTCTTGACGCCAAACTCGGCCTATGGATTCCAAACTCAGCCTAACGCATTGAAACGCCATTGAAACGTCAATGAATTCACTTCGGCCTATCGGATGAAGATAAAAATTGATTCGGTCGGAGCGTTTCTTTTGTTTTTGGAAATAATGGGTGCAAACCTTCATATCACGCGTTCTCATTGACTTCGTTCCGTAGCTTATTAACTAAAGTATCGTACCAAACACCTAATTGACTTGTTAACTCTGGAATCATGGATTCATTTGAAGTTTTCTGCTGGATAGACCCAAAATGGGCAATTAGGCCTACCTCCAATGTGCGGAAACGGTACTATCGATTGTCACACACTCAAGTCGCCATCTGACGTAAGCATTTAGTCGATGACTTTGAAATTGCAGCTATTGTTTTCCTCTGCCATTGTCTGCGCTCCCGTCATCGTACCTTCCTCAACATTGTCCTTTGCTCGCTTTCTACTTTCCGAATACAATTTTTGCACTGCCATACTAAAACGGATCTATCAATTCTATATTTTCATCTTCTCTTCTATCGTATAAAATGATCACTTAAAGTTTGATATTGACGATAAGCATCTCCAGCTTTAATAGTTGTTCAGTTGTCATTGTGCCAGAGTTACAATCAGACTATTAAGCGTGAAAAATGCGTGTAGGTGCTGTGGCATAGTACAACTGTAATCTTTCCGTGAAGCAAGCTTGTTCAAAGCAAAGAAGGATAGATTAGGTCACAGATGCACAGTCCATCCAAGATGCCGAAATCCATTCCTCCAATATATCCCGAAAGAACTGCTCATGTTTCAAAGTAGGAAAAATCTCCTACTAAATATCTTGAACTAGGCATTACTCCAGTTGAAAATTTTGATACTTGGAAGAACCGCTAATTTATAAAATGGTGCAATGAAAAACCATGGTCTGATTATGCATCCATGATTTTAAAAATGTATCAGAAATTTTAAATCATGTAAAATTTTCCAAGTCGGTGATTTTAAAATCAGAACCAAGTTTTGGATGATTTCGACAGATTTTCTGAATGGCAAACAGAATTTTTCAATGTCAAAATTCAAGTTTAGAAGTACGATATTATTAATATTAAGCTTAATTTTTCACAATTCGGTGTTATGACTCATTCGACTTAGTGGCGTTCGAAATAGTGGCCTTTGACCGATTGGCTCTGTACCATCTCAAAAACTTGATCCTATATGTTGTGTGCTGCAATTTGAAAGTCTCGGTGGTCTAATAACGACCGTTCTTGCCTACTTAGCAGAAGATCATGGATTCAATCCCAGGCTTCTTGACATTACAGAGTCGTTAATACCGTATAGATTTTTATATTAAAATGTTCAAGTCACTTCAATTCAGCGTATCGTTTAACAAAACAAACCCTGCTGCAAACCTGACCCCTCTATTCAACATTCCAGTGACCCACAACAATTTGTAACAATTTGTATGAGAAAGTGCCCCCGATGAAATATATAAACGGAATGCTGAAATTTTAGTTTTAATGTTATTCTAAATAAGACACCGTAAGCACGACTTTCTAAATGTAGAGTCCGGTTAAAGTCGTCGGTGATTGGCACTTATACGTGAAGGATAAACTTCAGGTGGTAAATAACCAAGAATCAAAATATAAAAAAAACATTGATCAAGTTCCGAAGGAATGCGAAACAAGTTGATCGATTATTTAATCACCGTCCAGCAGTTAAGCCCGTACGATTCTGAAAAGCTAGATATGTCCTCAACAGCTAGGCATAACGGAGAAGAAAAAAATCTACCCACCACCCCCATCACACAATCAACGCAAACACAGACAGGCTGATTCCCGGAGTATCTCCGAATGGACTGACACCTCAATTGCATCCAATGCAATGTGCGCGCGCTAAACATACTCTTTTAATGATCAATTATGCAAATGATTTATTTGTACCGCGTGCAATGCGATATGGGTGTGTCACCGCTCCGACCGACCGCCATACCGACTCGTACCGTCACGGAAAGCTTCTCTGATCAGACTTCCTTCCCGATGTTCGATCCGTCCAAAGCAGCCCCATTCGATGGTCCACCTGCCACGTGAAGAGTGTTTCAGTTTGTAGGTAAATCAAGCGGGCAGATTTAGTTGTGCATGGCTTTTTCGGTGACCTGAACCCGATGGAGACCACGAAGGATGAGGGGAGCACGGATGGAACGGGGGACTACAAATTGGCCTTTGACAGTCTGGGGCGTGTTTGTGTAAAATAATACCGTTTTCAACGTCGTCGCCGTCCATTTTCGAGTGTTTGTACGTGTGCCGTATGTTGATAGTATAAACATGCATAAATTCGAACCGTCACAAAAGGCCCGTGAGTCTATAGAATTTCATTTCCAATTTCAGCTGTGTTTAGATTAGGCGGAATGCATTGCCCGTTTCGTGATTGTGCAAATTGCCACAGTTGTTCGGTCGGATCGGTGGTGGTCACTTGATCAATTTGGGGGGAGGCTTTTTGATTGGCTGCAAATGCCCAAGAAAAGAGCACGGAACGAGAGACGTACAATTTATATGCCTTTCATGTATATGTATACTTCACTCAATCTGCATAATTTATTAATATTAATATTGGTCCAGGGGAGGACGCCTCTGCAGAGATACAAAGTTGACAAACGATGTTGATGAGGTTAAGAAATGGGTAATTTGTTTGCATTCAAATAGTCGCTCATTATTCACACTAATTGACAGTTGGTTTGATTTGATTAATTTCCTCTTGGATAATTGAAATTTCTGAGGGTTAAAAGGGAACATCTTGTGGCTTCTGTAATTTTACTAGCTCCTTCGTATAGGTTTCAAAAGTATAGAAGTATGCAGACAAGTAGAAAATTGATCGTCTTATATCTAGTACAATATAGAATCGCTAAGATGTTTACATATAATCCATGCTACCAACATCGTCTGTTTATGATCTCATTTCAAACGACATATTTTCCATTATCTCTCTTCCAGGTTTCACACCTGCAGCGCCACAACAACCAGCAGCAACCCCATCCCCTGGAGCCGATAGACCCACATCACTATCCCGTGACGCAACGAATTCCCCCGCCCCGATCCAGCAAGCACGGGAAGCATTCCGGGCTAGGTGCCAATTCTTCCAACGACCCCTCCAGTGGGTACAACAACTACTACTCTGGTCAGCAGCCCAGACCGGCACCCAGAGCTCTTGATTACCAGAAACAGTTGCTGAACAACCATACCGGCCCGATTGGGATACTGAAAAACAACACCACCAGCAACAAAAACAGTGGCAGTAGCGCAGCCAATATCAGCGGCACCAGCCACTCCCAAAGGCGTCCACTGATTTACGAGTTGAAACAGTATGAGTATTTCAACAACCCCACAAGCTACAAGCATCCGCCTCAACCGCCAACTGTCAAGAACACCAACAGCGTGCTCCAGCAGCACTACAGTGGCCAGAACTACAATATCAATTATAATCTGAATTTTACGAAAAATCAATACAACATACTAATATCGCCACCAACGACGACGACGACGCCCGGCCTGACGAGCGCCGGTGCAGCGCCACCATACGACGAGAACAATCACTACAATAGCCATTATCAGCAGTATCAACATCAGAACAACGTCAGTAGGAACTACAAAAACAACTACCATAGCACTAGCGCCACCAATCATAATCTCTACAACAACTACAATCAGTATCTTAGCAATCAGCATCAACACCAGACCAAGGAGTCCTATCTGGACGAGAAGCCACCGCTTGTAGTAGGTGACATCACGACGGAAGGCGGCGACGGTGGCACCTGTGGCAAAATGCAACGCGAGGAGATTATCATCGAACACAGTCAGCTGGTTGGAGACCGAAGTGGACCAGGCGCTGTCATACACCCCGCAGCCGGTGGTGGTCCCGCTGGACGGGAACCATGCGCGGGAGGACAGCCATTACTACGCGGTAAAGGTGGCAAGCTGACGGCCATCAACCTGACGCATCATTGCACGCAGGTGAGTACACGTTCCCGATCCGGGCCGTACCGGTTCTATACACATGTGGGTTTGAGGCATAGGAACAGACTTGCATGCATACATCATCACTTCGCGAATGGGTCTAATCGATATTTTGAAACCGCGTTCAGTGTGGGATCGTTAGGTATGTGACCTAATTTGCATGCGGCTGCCGAATGGCGATGAAATTCGGATGCTGGTTGTTTATTGCTTTAATATGATGATATGCGTTGTTGAGCTCACTGTCCTTGAGAGTTGAAGTGGGGCGCAAAATTTCAACTGATTCAATCTACACACAAATCGAATCAAGCGAACGTTAGGCTTAATAGACGTTAGGCAAACAAACTCATATGAAGTATTTTTTATCAATGAAATTTAAAAATGGGTCATTAGGAGAAAGGCCATTAAGGTCTAAAAAAAAATACTTGATGAAAATTTGAATGATACTAAGGCTGTTGAAAAAAAAGTGAAACAAATTATTCGTCGTGGTTTCGAAGGAGTTCTCAAACTTTTCCCTTAATACGACTCATCAAGCGGCACCCACGTTCTCGTCCACTGTTTTGGCGATTTTATCCCAACAATTTTTCATCACGTGGATGACAATTTTAAGCATCTGCAATCGATAAATTAATCAGGAAATGTGAAAATATATCCCTCCTGCTATGCTTCACGACGACCACTACCCGAGGCTAACACGATCGCTTAGTTTCTATTAAGTTCGTCTATAACATCTTAATTATACGATTCGGATAGTTGGCTAGATCTCGGACCGTTGAAAAACACCGATTTACACAAATGATCTATATTCAAGGATATCCAACAAAAGTCAATGTAAGGATTTTGTTTGCAGCCACATTATTTCAAACAAATTAACACATATTTTCAATTTAATCATACGAATGAATCATACCACAAGCCCACATTCTTTCCATTACACAATCATCGCCAGTGCCAAAGTTAATCAAAGCAATTTTAAAGCGTTCATACAGACAAGCATTTGAGATTAAGTAATTAAAATGCAACTGCTGCAAACCACAATCTCAAACAACTTCTCAACAGTGTGGCGAAGGACATTGCGAAGAAGACTTCCTTATGCCGATGTCTGTATAGTTCCAAACCAGCGTCCAGCCAGCCACGCCTCCCGGCCACCAGTCCTTGTTCCAAAACGGTGGTAGTAAAGCGGCACGTCGCAAGATTTTCCCACGCCCAATTAAAATTCACCCGAGTAGTTACAAGCAACTCCATAATCAAAAGCAATTAGCATAATAAAATGCGCTCGTTCATAAACTATTCGTCTATTGGGAGGGTGCCTCCTACCAGCTCTCAAGCCTAGAACACCTACGTCCGAGTTACGGCGTTGTTGACGGCGCCTTGGGTGCAGTACAATTTACTACTACCCGTCTTGGTAGACGACGACGACAACAAATGGCAATAGAAAAGTTGCAACTCTATTCGATTAGCGTTGTTTGACCAGCGACTATTGCAATAGTAATATCAGGAATTTGACATTGCACGGTGGTCACCGTCTCGTACAACCTGACATCTCGGACTACGAGAGGTCGTTAGCGCGAGAGTCTACATGTAATTAAAAGCGTGTCCACAGTGCATGCCTTCGAATGTCAATCCGACTTGGAGGGCTGGAAACATAGTAGACGACGGCAGCATTGCACATGTTCAATATTTGTGTCGCGATGCAGCACACGCCACCGGTGGACAAACATTTACGGAATCGGGAAGGCGGGCGAATGCATTTTTCGCATTTATGGCGTCCAACATGATCGACGCGTGCAGTGAAGGAGAACGAGCATTTGGAATTAGCGGACCCAGGAGTGACACAGTCTTAACTTTACGATACGACATTTGCCTAGGTGATCAGTGATCACTGATAATGTGTCAATCGGAAGACAAATGAGCTTGGAGAAGGCCTTCAAAGGGGAATTAATCGAACTAGATTGGAGTTGCATTGCACTAAGCGTCTGAAACATCACAGTTCGATAAAGTAGTTTAAATTTCTGTTTACAATGCCCGGCAGATAAATACGTTTTTTTTATCATAAACACCCAGATAATATAAGCGACTACGATAAGCTTTCATCGAAATTTCTGCAACTTAACGTTCGATAAATTTTGACCGTCATTTTAACAGCTATTTTGCAAACAAATTTCAACAAGCTATCAGTTGTTTGTGTTTGTGTTTTCTCGGTTTTGAAGTTTCTGGTGTAATTGGGCGTAATTGCATTTGTAAACAAACACGTCAATCACCGATTTCTCGCGAACAAAAGCTCAATCTCGAAAACTAATAACGCTATAGGTAGAGGTAGAGGAATGATTCCTCTATCATTTGGTATTGTTTGTTTGTGATATTGTGCTTTATCTCAAGAGAAATCGGCAATTGACGCCTTTGTTTACAAAAGCAATTGCACCCCAATCCCAAATCACTCCGGATATGATTTTTTTAGAAATGTGAATCCTCAGTAGACGTGTTTTTTATCAAAGGCAACTGTCACTCGAGCCATCCAAAATGTTCGTTATTTTATAAATTATTGTTATTTCCTGCGCAACTATAGCGCAACTCTGGGGCACAGATTTTTGTTTTTTACGATGGTAACAAAAAAATACCAGAAGAACTCGCCTCGCCTAGACAATTTCTTTCAAATGCGGTCTTACCATACAAACTCCAGGGATTGTAGCCCTTTCCACATCTTCCATTTTGGATGGCTCGAGTGACACTTGCCTTTGATAAAAAAAACACGTCTACTGACGATTCATATAGTAGGGGAAATGGATGTAATGTCGGCCTAAATGCCCCTAATTTGGGCCCATACATAAATTCAGCTACCGACTAAATTTTCAATAGCGACCAAAAATCAAGCTTAACATTGCATTAGGTCCTAAGTAACATTGATCGATTCTCTTCGTCGACTTTCTCTTTCGTTAATAACCAAGTCCCCGACAAGGTGACAGATAATCTTAGTTTCACGTACCCACTTGCAAATAGTAGATGTCGCCACACAACGTAAATAAAGGGTCTGCCCTTCACCGCCGCAATGGTATTTCTCTATGGGAAGGCAACTTTTTGTTTCACCATGTGTGGATGTCAAACAACAAGCAAGAATGCCATGTGAAAAGAGCGATTTATGATTTTCGTGGTGAAATGAAATAAATCCAAACAAATTGGAACAGATTGATGGAAGTTTTTCTTATATAATCAAATAGAAATGAAAACACATTGGTTAATTCTATTATATTTTGCTCTTGAATATTATCAGTCTTGAGAATAATGTTTCTGAGCATACTTGTGCGGTGAAGACTTGCAATAAAAAGCCGTATCAATAAAAAGCCGTATCAATAAAAAGAGTTTACTTCCCCATCTTTCTATTGAGGGTGAAAAAAAAAATACAAAATTGATTCTTATTCGCGGTGAGTAGCAGGTTTGCTTTGTGAACACTAACATTTCGTATATCCATTTAAACATGAAGAAATAAATAAAATAAATTAAAATAAGCGTCTCTCAACAAAAGATATTCATAATGAGCTTCTAAAACGAATAAATTTCAGTGATTGTCTTTTGTTACACCCGTCCGTTTCATCAACATTGTTCCCCACCAACTTGAAGTTTCAAGAAACAGATGAGGCTATCTGTTTTTATTTTCAGTATTTTATTTACTGTACATCATATCTGCATTCGCCCTATTCAGATAACACTTCTGAAATTTGTGAGTTTGACAGAACCACCAGCATCAAATTTTCGGGGTACACTGGAAATGTACTGGACTTGTCAAGTTGCCCCCGGGTTGTTAATAACTTGAGCACAGAACCGTTTCTTATTGTGTTTGTGATATTGGATGCTAGATAAAAGCTTCTTTTATCGATCTGTGTGCTGAAAATACCTGGCAATGTTTTTATATGGCCGTGGGGATGCAAAGAGAAAGTCGACGAAGAGAATCTGTCAATGTTACTTAGGACCTAATGCAATGTTCAGCTTGAAATATCCATTAGTACCATCCCAATGACGCGTTCATCTGGATAAAATTGATAAATAGCAGATATTTAGCGATGGGTCCAATCTTAGACCCATAGGCCAACATTAGAGCCATTTCCCCTATTAAAAAAAAAAATCATCCATCAATGAAACAGTCATGGGTTGTCATTGAAAAGCAATGCAACTATGTTTTGTCAATCTAATTGAAACTTTTATTGGCTCTGTTGTCTTGTGATTTCTAGCTATAGCAGCCTCTTTTCTGATTTTTTTTTCTCTCAATCTATGGAATCTACACGAAAACTATGTTTGAACGAAATTTCTAGAACAGTACCGTTCCGATTCAAATTTCGGACGATTCAAATTTCGGACACTTTCATTTTTAATTAAATATTACATCCAGTTAGAAACAAAGTAATAATGTTAGATGATCGTGGAGGGCACTAGTCAAAAAAATTTAAAATTTACAAGACATGTGGATCATATTCGACCGAGATAATCAACTTTTAAAAGTGTCCGAAATTCGAGTTTAAGTGTCCGAAATTTGAATCGGCACGGTATAAGGAACATTAAGTCGTAGACTACACATTTTTATATGGGGAAAGTTCGTAAACCATATACTTTAAAATTTTCCACTTTTTAACATATATTCAAGCATGAAACTAAGTCAAACTTCTATAAAATCACTTTGAATGGTCAACCTCTAGTCACTAAGTTGGTAGGTAAGACATAAAGCTATAAGTAATTACCTAAAAACTTAAAATTAACTTGAAGCACTTCTAAACCATCACCGATTTTGCTGAACATTTCTGTTAAAATGAACAGGTCTAAGGTGTAGCAGTTCTTTTGATCATTTTCTCAGAAATGTACTGTTCCTTATTTGGCTTGAAGTCCCAGAGTAATCAGCGGCTGCTTTTCTCCGATTTCTGCAAAGCAGTCCGAAAAACCGTTTGCTGATAAAGACGGATCTCTGTTCTGGTTTGCTCAGGCTGCTCGTCGTTCTCGGAAATTTCAACAATAAT